AACCCAAAAAAAAAAAAAAAAAGACGACGACGACGACGATGATGAACTGGTAGCCAAACAGATCAAAATTAAAATAGCGGTCCTCACAGAGGTTACGAACTCATACGGGAAGTCACCTGACGTGGATCACAAAGTCGATAGTGTTTCTGATGACGTTCTAAAGCAAAGCATGGAGAGGTAAAGCACGCAGAGTGGTGGGGGAAAGTCATTCCGGGGGAAGCAACAGCAATGGAAATAGCCTAGGTGCAGGGGGACAGAATGCAGGTCGGGTGGATGCAGCAGGCGAGCCAGGAGAGAGGGAGGAGCTGAGGTCCGAGGACGCCAACAGCCAGGCCGCTCGAGGCCTTGCAGACACCGCAAGGACTTCACCTTGTGTCCTGAGCCAGAGGGAATACCGCAGGCCAGAGGCAGAGAAATGGCACCGCGGTTCTCACTCTGCTGCTGCTGCTTTACGAATACATGGAGGGACCAGCAGTTAGTGTTAAGGCTATGTCGCTGGACTCCCACGTAGTCGACCGCGGTTCCTGTCCCGGACCCGGTGGCTTAAAACTCACTCTGGGCGCATGCACATGCGTGCCCAAGATCCCGAGAGGAGAATGGAGGAGAAGGGATTGCGGCGTGGCCATTCTCCCTGGAGGTGATTTCTCACTTTCTATCTCTCTGTCTCTCTCTGTCTTTCTGGCAAGTGCATGTGCTCTATAGCAAAAACCTCTAAATAAAAGGGGAAAAAAAAAGAATAGATGGGGAGATGGCACCATTATTTCTGTTGTACAAATTTAAATTTTCGGCATACATCGTGTGCCATTGGCCTGCTGTCTTCGTTTGGGCTTCCCTGTGAGGGCAATATGTAGCCTGCTCAGGAATCCGCACACCCCCGTGCAGCTGCCACTTGGCATAAGGAGTGTGTGTGGTGGGGTCACCAGTCTGCATCGTAACTGGCGATATGAATTCTAGAGCAGGATTACGCTGTTATCCCTAGGGTAACTAGTACCACTGATCAACACTAGCGGGTCGATTGGCTTTAAGTGGCTTTGACTTGTTATGGTTTGGCTTAGTAGCTTTCGGAGGTTTTTTTTATTCCCCGAGGTCACCAGCGTTTGGTGGCATCATCCTGAAGCAAGGATCGAACCACCTCCGGGTGGAAGGACACGCGGCCAGCATGTGAGCATGTTCGTCCTTCAGCAAATAAGAAAACTCAGCCTCTCTTTTCTAAAGCGCCTATGCTCATCTTCTCCCAGCATACCCTCAGATGACTTTTTATTTCATCGAGAAGTTAGAAGTGATCAGAAAAGAATTGTCTTCCCAAGGCCAAATCCCACAGCCCCTAGCTTCTGTGTCCACGCACTCTGCCTTCCCTCCACTTCCACAGATGCACCATCCCAGCTCCTGGGGATTTTAACCACTGCTGCCTACTCAGAGCCAAGGAAGTCCAGCCCCTGCTCACAGAACTGACCAGGAGAGAAAGAGTGAGCAGTGTGAGCCCGTGCCACCAAAGGGCACCACGGCGGGTGGCAACAGCATCCCGGCAAGTTCTGATAGCTGACCGACACCGGCCGAGGTGCTCCCAGCAGCCCCAAGAGGGGGTACCAGTGTTCCCCTTTCTCAGATGAGATGATGAGACATGGGGAGGGACCTAGGCCAATTTTCATGGGGCCCTGCCCCTGTGCCGTTTCGCTGGGTGGTCAGTGATCTCCTCACCTGAGGGCTCTGGCCCTTTTCTCTTTTCCTGCCATGTAGCAAAGCTTGCCTGAAGCACTCGCCTTACCACCTCTCACTGTACTCAGCAGTAAGGCCCTTCAACTCTCAGCCAGTTGCAGTCAATTTCTGGTACCTATATAATCCTTAATGAACACACACCTCCTCCAGGAAGCCTTTCCGGATAGCTGCAGTTAGAATTCAGCTGCCTTCCTGTCCTACGTGCCATAGCTGGGTCCTCTCAGTGTATTACACATGTTGTGTTCTCTTGCGCATTCACTGTGGCTGGGTGACAAGTGACCACAAAACAGTGGCTTAAAAACCATCTCACTCATGATTCTGTGGCTCAGCAATTTGGCAGGCGGCTCTGGTGTCAGCTGGGCCCCCGGCCCACAGTCAGCTGCCGGTCGGCATCGCAGAGCCTGGCTGGGCTCCCTCCCGTGTCTGGGCCTGGTCTGGAGTGACTGGACCGACTGCCCGTGCGTGTGCTTGTTGCCCTCCAGCACCACCTGGCCAGTTCTCGCGGCAGTGGTGGGTGCCGGAGGAACGGCAGATGGCTCCAGGCCTCTCCGGGCCCAGGCTCACCCCTCCCACTGCGGTCTACTGGCCAAAGCCCCTTCCAGGGAAGCAGAGGGGGC